AAGGTTCACAACAACCCCAGTACCCACATTCCAACTTCCTTCTTTCCCAGATTCTTTATCGGTCCCTCCTTTACTTCTAGCCGGCAACCCGGAAGGGTCAGTCTGCCCAGGCTTTAGATGCCTTATGGTCTCCCTTCCCTTGATACATACTTCCAGAGCACATATCTTTTTCCTCTGGATTTATTTTTTATTTAGTCTATTCTATATTATATTAATCTAATAAATGAGTATTAATAGAAATATTATACTGTTATAGGTTTTAAAGTTAATTTAAAGAAATTTATTTGAGTCAGAGATATTTCTAAATATATTAAGTTGTAAGCTTGTGAAATATATCACATTCCAGAGTAATTTTCATCTGATTTTTATATAAATATTGGCATTTTTTTTATTTTCTCATGTAATTTCTTAAAAAAAAAATCTTTGTAATTTAGCAACTCAAAGTAAGTAGTTTCATAATCATCTTATAAAATTAGACTATAAAAATACACAGAGGTTTTTTTTAAGTTACTGAAAACTTTAGTTTTTTAATACTAAAAAAAACAAATACTTTGTTCTTAGAAAAATAAATTATCACCTAAGTTTTATGTTGCTACTATTAGCTCCACTCTATAATACTCATATTACTGTATACTGTACTAGCAAAATATGAGGTTCTTTTTTTTTTAGCACTTTAAAACATAGACCATAATTGAAATCTGAAACACCTATTGGACTTCTTTTTTGATTTTTAGGAAATATGAATTATCTAGTACTTTGTTCTTTAAAGCTATCTAATTTTTATCTTTTTTATTATAGTATAATCATTAAATTAATATATGCATCATATACAGGTCAAAATAAAGCAAATTAGGTTCACATTAGCATTACAATATCCTGATATGAACCTAATTTGAAACAAATATTTGGTGCAAATAAGATATCTATAGGATATATTTCAGATTCATATCAGCTCACAAAACAGATTAGCAAGATGATAACTTTATAGATAAATCGATAGAGCTATAAGATTTGCTCTATTGTTTTATCTATAGAGCTATTGTTTTGCAAAAATGTTTTGTGAGCTGATATGGATCTAAATTGTTTCTTATAGATATCTTATTTGTACCAAATAACTGTTTCTAATAAGATTTATATTAGGATATTGTAATGCTGATTTGAACCTGATTTGCCTTATTTTAACCTGTCATAGTTTTAATTAGAAAGATTATTATAAATCAGATCTTTTATTTATTTATTATTATTATTTTTTTTATTATTATAAGAAATTTGACAAAGCTCTAGTATAAAAGTTAAGCCAAAAACAAGTATGTAATAATTTATTCATTTTTTCATTATAATCCACTTATTCTAAACCTTAATTATTTTTTATTAGTAGAATCTAATTATTTAGGTCAATGACAAAAAGTAGTAGAATTACCTTCTACTATTGCTTCATTAGTTTCATTATATAAAGCTTTGGAGTTGTTGGAATATGAAGCTAAAGAGTGCCAAACAATCTAATATCCAGATAGTAAATTAGCAAAAAGTTATTTTCTACTATATAATAGTTTTTTTTCTAAGTTAGTTCAAATTTAAACATATTTAGATGATTTTTCTTTATATAAAGTACACTATAACCAACTTGTTATATTTGATTTCTTAAAGCAAATTCTTTCCAATTCTAACTATATGCAATTGTTTAAAAATAAATATAATAAACAAAAGCAGGCTTGTATAAAGCATGCTTGTAAATTAAAAATTGAAAATAATACTTTGAAATTGGTATTCAAACTAATGATAAGAAGACTAGTGGGATTGGTGTACAAGTATATAATAATATGTTACATATCTTTGATAGTTATATTTGTCTATTACAAGCACAATTAAATATAAAAATAATAAAATAGAGAATTTTAAAAAATGATTAGAGTATGCATACAATTATGTGATCAAAAGTTGAGAATGTGTCCAAGAAATTAATATAATAATAAAGAACTAACTGAACAGAATAGTGTGTTAAAGTATAGATAGAAAAATTGATATAATAGTCAAAAAAAAAGAATTAATTCTGCAATTCAAATTGCAAACCAAAAATGTCTAAGCATAGATAACAATATCAAATTATTGATTTTAAATAAGCAATAGTTTTCACTTAATAATTTATTAAATTTTATACTTGATAATTGGTTAGCTAATTATAATCCAGTTTTTGTAAATTTTATTAATACTCTTACATATAATGAAAGTAATAACTATAGTATTAATACTTCTAATGAAAGAATTTTTAAAAAAATAGTTGCAGTTGATGCTATATATAGATCGAGATATAAAAACTGTATATCAGAAATAAATCTTGCTATAACTGAAATTAAGTATTCAATAGCATGATCTAAAACAATTATTGATATTGATAACTATATAATTAGTTCCAAAAGTTATATAAAATTCATTAACTGGCTAGAATCATTAGCAATTAAAATTGATTCTTTACCTAAAGGACTCTTATTTTTAGTCTTCAATAATAAGCAACAAGGTCAATATAATTATATTGATTGCAGTCATAATATAGTTATATATCATACAGTTATAAGTTTTGTCACACTAAATGTGATTAGAAATAATTGTGCTCAATTTATGATTGCTCCTTGTTTTTGTAATTCACTAACTGATAAACAGTATAAAAAACTATATTATATTATATTTAAAATGCAAGAAAAACATGAATTAGAATTAAAAATATATTTATTATTAATTTTAAAGGAGCTTATTGCTAAAAAAAATAAAAATATCAATACTATTAACCTAAATATAAAAAATTAAAAAGGTGTTGGGAGTCAGTCTAAATAGTGTAAAAAATACAATACAACTAATATTAATAATAAAAAATGTAATTGTCCTAATTGCAATAAAAAACTAGACATGTTAGCTACTTTAAAGAAGAATCTTTTAATGAATTTACTAAAATTAATACAGCATTCTAATCAAAATCTCTTGTAATAAAGCCTTATACATATACTTATGAACAAAAAAGTTCTAATTTTGATTATATTAGTATTATACAACAATCAAAACCTGAGTGTAGCATTATTAATTCTAAAATATATACACTTGACTTGTTAGAGCTTAATTCTAATTTAGTAAATAATGTCAAGAAAGTTTTAAAATACATAAAAAATATTATAAAATAGACAAAGGAGAGTGAAAATGGTTATCAGTTACTTGCAATAGTGTTTCTTATATTTTAGCTTAAAAAATTAAAAAAGATTTCTGTAGCTTATATTGATTTCTGATGCTTTGCATGAGAAAATGAATATGCTTAAGGCATTTGTAAAATTAAATTGATACATATTTTATTATTATTATTATTATACTCTTGAATCTGAAATTACTATTATCTTATCTATATTAACTTATTTTTTAAAGTTGATTAATATTAAACAATTTGCTTTTCTTCAAGGATACAGAACTAAAAATCAACTTGAATTTTTTAAGAAGTGTTTTGATTATCCAAATCATGAGACTCTATTTGTAATATTTACTAATATGCATCACATGTAAATTATTATAGCTATATATAGCTGTGACAGAAAGTTTATTAGTTGATGACTATTTGGATTGAGCAAAAAAACAAAATGATTACATATACAAAATAAAATTTGAACAAGTAAAACTTTTAAGATATATTGAATAATCTTTAAACTTTTTACTAACAATTATTATAGATATTTACCTATTTTCAGGCTATTATTAAATTTCATATAGGAGTTAGAAAAAATAGATCATCATTGATAAGTGCTGCTCAACATATATTTGCTCTGATATAGTTGGGTCATAGGCACCTTATTTATTGTTTAATTGAGATAACTTATAAAGAGCAGTTGATGTGATTAAACTCTAAAATTAAACAATATATTGAATTATATTTAGTTATCTTACAATTAGGCTGTAGTAATCAACATCAAGATCTTGATGCTATTCTCGAGAAAGTCAATAAATATTTAAAGACATTAATTTTACCTTTATCTTCACAAAAGCATTGGAGAATAGCAGCACATAATTGTACAAACTTTATAAAAGTTAATAAAATTATGTTTGTATTTATAAAAAAAAAAGCTATGCCTGTACTTACAATGCATATTTTTAATAATAACTAGCTTTATTATATATTATTTAATATAATTAAGCATATAGATAATAAGTTATCAGGAGGTCAAGCACGTTCATACTATACATTAGAGTTGTATCGATTTCGAGTTTATTTGTATAAAACTAGATTCTTGAATTCTCAAAATAATAATCGTAATTTTAAAAGTCTTGAAGAGAAACATCCACTTAGCAAACAGCTAAAAAATTTTACAAATTTAGTATATAAAAGATGAATAATGCTTATAAATAAGACTTTTAGAGATGAAGAGCCAAAAACCTTACCTCGACCAATATCTATTACTGCTCAGGAAGTAGCAGCAGCCATGAGTAAAAAAAATATAACCAAAAAAGAGCTTTTAGCAATTATTGATTCATTGTTAAATTCAATTTATGCTTTAGCTCATCCAAAGTATTATTGGTTACCACAAAAAACTAATAATTAATTGCTAAAAATTATACAAAATATTCGAGACCTATATAATAATTAAAATGAACTTGAAAATAAGATAGAACTAGAAAATTAAAATAAATATATAATTATTATTAATTTAATAAACTATAATTAAACCTTTAGTAAATTAAAAATCAATTAATACTTAGTCTTCACTATTTACAAAGTTATAATATTTAAATATTTTTTGAAGTCAACTTTTAGCACATATAGTAAGCTTGAGCCAAAATAGAAATCTTAGTAAAATAATCAAAATGTTTATTTGAAAGAAGAAGAGATGCTTGTTACTATTCAAATAAGTCTAATTATAAATTGTATTGTCATTAAAAATACAAAAAAAAGTAGAAAATGTATTCTTCAATACTTATTTAATTGCTCTTTTTGTTTCTTGTTCTACTTAGTAACACTAATTAATCATACAACACCTTATAAAAAAAAGTCTTTAATTATAAAATTTGCATACATATCTGATACTGGCAAGCCTTTGCAACTAAATGCCATTTTAAAGTTTAGAAATCAGAGATCAAACTGGTAAGACATCCTATATGCAGTTTATCCCTTAAACCGTAATGCGGGCAAATTTGCCCGCTAAAAATTTTTTTGCTCCGATTTTATTTAATTACTCCAGATTTTTCTAAGGTTCCCCCCCTCTTACTAAGCTCAAATGAGACTTACCAGATCAATTGATTACCCATAAATTTCTTTTTATGGTACCTTCTATATGTATGATGCAACATTAATCCAAAGATAGTGAACGTGCATGCATAAGTAACTAGATAATCAACGTCAAGCATGAAAAAAAAAAAAAATTCTCACAGTAATGTCCAAACATAAAGCCAATGTATTGTCTTCAAACTTTGTGTCTTCGAGTTCGTCATCTTCAGGCTCATCATCTTTAAATTCGTCGTTTTTGTCTCCTTTTGAAAGTGTAGAGGAATATGGCAACGAAGAAGAAGGAGAAGAATTCGTACCGGTTTTGATGTTTCGCCAGCATTCTTTAAATGATGACCCAGAATCAGATGATGACCAGAATGAAATTGACACTGAAAGTGCCCGTAAAAAAAAACGTAAATCAGCAGAGACCACACAAAAAAAACTCCCACCACCACCTTCTGACTTTGAACCGCTTGTTCATTCAAGTCTATTACGTAGGGCAAATGTTAGGTTACCACCACATTTTGATGTCGGTGTTTCCAAAGCAGTGGATTTTTTTTTTCTTTTTTTTACAAGCACAATGTTAGACACAATGGTTGTCAATACGAATTTGTATGCATCATCAAAGGATGCCGGTGTTTCTGGTAGGGGTTGGCAGGATGTAACTCGTAAAGAGCTTGTTATTTGGATAGCTCTCGTTATCTATCATGGACTTTTTAAAGTACCTTCTCTCAACCAGTATTGGAATGATAATCAGAAACTTCCCATCCACCATATTTCAAAGCAAATGTCTTTGACACGCTTTGAACAGATAAAAAGGTTCCTGCACGTTTCTCCCCCCTCCTCAATAATTACAAATTATTTTGAAAAAGTGGAACCATTGCTTTCATGCGTCCGTGATGCTTCGAAGCAATATTATGTACCAGGTTCAAATGTATCGGTGGATGAAATGATGGTTCGTTTTTCTGGCAGAAGCATACACACAGTTCGAATTAAGAATAAGCCCACACCAGAGGGTTTCAAAGTTTTCTCGTTATGTGAATCAGGATACACCTACGCTTTCTTGCCGATATCATGTATTACTCCAAACGACATAGTAAAAGTGCGTGGTCTTAGTCAAATTGGGTGTTTAGTTCTTCACCTCGTTGAGCAACTTCCTTATCATCAAGTTCCGTACAATGTGTACATGGATAATTATTTTAGTAGTGTACCTCTTTTTCAAAATCTCCGGCAGATTTGCGTTGGAGTCTGTGGAACTGTTCGTAAAACGGCCTCGGGGTTTCCCAAAGAACTGAAGGTAGAAAAGAATGTCAAACTTGATTGGGATGTTCGCTCTGGAGTTGTAG